GATTGAAGGTTATTTTCCAGTAGGTACTGAAATCTAAACTATTTTAAATGTCTAAAAAGTTTTTGATTTTAAATATTGCACTATCGAGACTTTTTATATGTGAAAGAAAAAATTGCCCCGATCGATTACTAGTAGGTAGTAGAACAAACAACTATTTCAGAACAGTTTTCAGAAATAAAATCCGACCACCCCAAGCCCGACTCTGTTGTCTCGGTCTTCCGGTCTCCATCGCTACATTTTTACATCGGTATCCTATCTTATTACTCAACCGTAATGTTTGTAAAATATTTGCTACATGACGTTGTCTCTAATCGTCTTACAAATTTAGAATTATGTTTACAGTTATCGCGTTTTAAAGTGGTTATCGTTACTACGATAATTATTACAGCCCAGTGGCTATTATAAATATTATTCAATATATATATATTATTTAACTGGTATAATATCCAGTGCAAAATGCCTGATTTTTAATCTTTTTTTTTCTATTTTGTCCGCCTAAATTTGTATTTACGACCACCACCACTGACGATACGGTTTCGATCGTGCCAAGCCACATGTCAAAGTGTTCTGTGGTGTAAACAAATCCATCAGTTTGGGCCGTCTCTCCTATTTTTAGAACATGTCCCTACGGCTTATCTAGTTGACGGACTTATTAGTTATTAGTTAATAGTTATTACTTATGTCTTAGGAGTTAGGACCGGTTTCACCACTAAGAGTTAAAGAGAGAGTTATCGACCTAACCATGATCTAGCTCCCTCCCGTCGGTCAAGAATCGGGGCCGTATTAGGGGAGGGGGCTGCAAATTTCAAGTTTTTAAATTTTTATTAAATTTGTATTTATATTAATGCGTTTTGTTTCATCAGAAAATTTCTAAATGCGGCCCTGGTAAGAATATAGTAATGGTGATTGGTGGCTCCTTGCAACTTGTCCAACAACTGAGGCATCATTAATGGTGGTGATGGCAGACTCCAGTGGTAGCAGTTACAGTTCTTAAGGACTGTTCTCACAATGACCGGTTATACTGAACGGACACTTATTAACCGGCGGAACTCTGCCGGTACCTAATCAAATCTATCATCAGCTCTATTATCCGACTCTGAACCGGACATTGTGAGAACCAGCCTAAATCTATTTCAATGTGGCCAGTATCATCCTGAATAACTTTGATAGATTCTATCGCCATTTATAGAATTAACTTGTTCGTCAGTGTCACTGACACCATTTGTTGTTACATCTTCAGGTGCTACTCAAAAACCAAAATCGTTGTTCATAATATCTTTCATTGATTCAATTTTTCATCGCTTTTACAATAAGTATTTTCCAAAACTACTGATACCTGTTTGGGCTTATCTTGATTCTTGAGATGCATCATTCTTCAGCTGTTCAGTTAATTCAGGAACTTTAAGAAGTTATTTTGTAATTTCAGATTTTTTGTTTATAGATACGGTATGTATACATACACCATATTATATATAATTTAAAGATTCAATTATTCACAACTTTTCTACAAATATTATAATGCAGTGTTTCAGAGTTAAGACAGCATCCTTGGAAAATATCAAACAAGAATTATCAAGTTAGGTTAAGTTTGTGGACATTTAAATATGTTACCATTGATGGAATGAATGAACATTTGATTATGACTTATGAGCAATAAATTCAACCATTGAGTCATATTTCAAGTTCTAATTTGAATGGATCATCAACTCAAAGAGCTAACAAAAAAATTATCAGCATTGCAACAGTAATTTTTTTGTTTAACAATTTACTATATTAGTTGTTGGATATTTAATTATTACTAAATAATATAATCACTAAATTACAAACAATCATATAATTAATTGAATATTTAAAAAGCCAAGTTTGATTTGTACCTAAATAATATTGAAATTATGTGCTAATAATTGTATACTATTTTATAAAATTATCAAGATTAACATATTATTATGGTACAAAAATTAAATTAATAGTTTCTAATTTTAAGATGACAAAAAAATGTACCAATAATATTTTTACACATTTATGTAACACATTAATAGTTTTTTTTTAGTTATTCTTGTAGCGCTATTAGCTAAGCATTGTGGTTTAACATTTAATCATAATATAACCAGTCACGTTTTTTTTAATTGTTAAATAATATTTTAAGAGTATTTCCCTGTATTTTTACTGCACAAAACACCATTGGGCATTTATACATAAAAATCCTTCTCTACAAATGATTTTTTTTTTAAATAATAGTTGTATTATAATCATTTAAAATCACATAATTTTTATTTTTCTCATTAACCATGTTCTATAGCTTATAAAAATACTGATAGTGCAAGACTTAACTATTTATTGTAATCACTAGAGCTAGGATTTATATGCTTTGGTATATTTCTTTTTGCTAAGTCTAACTTTGGTAAGTCAGGCGAATAACCCAATATTGATGCATAGTAGGTATGATCATTTTTGCTTTCATATTTTAAGTATAAAGTATATCATTGCATATTTTAACTGCAAACATCATATATTTATGATTTATGGTATATTTCAAGGAAAGTATATTCTATTTAACTTGAGAGTACACCAGTTTGTGAGTACGCGACTGATTGCTATGCGTTACTTTATATTATTATACCATAAGTGTAATTGTTAACGGTAGTTGCAGTGGTGTTGATGAGTGACGGATTGGTGAGTGGAAGCAGAGGTACCAATAACCACTACTGGAGAAATCATATGTGTTTTTTTCCGCCACCTGGTATAGGTCATCTTAAGATAAATGGAGTATAGTGTAAAACGCTAGGTGCCGTATTACATTACAAGCTCATTAAGTATATCAGCTATTTTGTCTGACAAAAAAAAATGATAAAAATGGTTTTGATATATAGGTATTTAAAAGCCAGACCAACTTGATTAAGTTTACATATAAAGCAACTGTATATATACATATATATGTATTAAAATATTAGAAGATGCGTCTCTTTCACATATTGATAGTTTGGGAAATTATTGGTAAATTCATAATAATATTAATATAATTCAAATATTAAATTATTATATTTTAGCATATTCCAACAAAATAAAATGCATATTTTATATTGCTTATAAATCCTAGTCCTGACTAATCACTTTCATAAAACTTCTTTACAACTTCTTAGCAACTATGTTAATGTTAAGTCGTTTGTTTTTATATCTATAATATTTATTTATTTCATATTAATTCTATGTATTTTTGTTACTTTAGTTTTGCTAAAGTTCACATTGCATGAAATAGAAATGTTCATAGCAAATTACTGAAGTTAAGCAAATCCTCCAAAAATTGTTGATGCATTTTTCTTATTGATAAGAGTGGTGAACACTCTCATGAGAATCATAGTGCGCTTGAAAACTGCTGGAAATAATGAACCTTTCAATTATCAATGCTCGTGGGCCTACATTGAAAATATAATTGTCAACTTATTATATAAATATGAAAAAGTAATAAATAATAAGTATTATGAGTAATAATTAATTTTCTGTTTGTTTTAGCCTATGAACTTCAGTTATTTGCGGTGCTTAGGTTGGGGGCAATAATAATATGAAGTATGCCTACTGATAAAGTATTTTGTTAGTTTCAAATTGACTAAATACTTCCCTAGTTGTAAAATACTATTAAATAGTTGTATGTGTTTCAAAAATATGTTTATGCATCTTTTTTTTGTTTTCATGAAATTCTAACATATTATATAAATTATTATACCTCAACTACAATACAAACAAAAAGTTAGACAAATTAAACGTTAGTTAAATAAAATAATTACTAAATTAGATTAGTAAAAACATAAATATTTTCAATACATTAAGCTACCCATAAACATCAGAATATAGTATTACCTATATTATTTTGCTATATAATTATATTTTAATTATACATACTAAACCAACTTTAACATAGATTATGGTGTTTTTAAGATATAAAAGTATCTCTGATTAATCGATATACGTAACTATATAAATTAAATGTTATTATTATAGAATGTAAAGTGTAGATTGAATTAAAATATTTAGAAAATACCTAGGTAACGTGAGCAAAAAATGTTTGTGAAATACTGTGACTATTAATACTATTAATATTACTACTTTTATTTAACATTTTTAAACAGTGGGAAGTATTCAATTATTTTACCTTTAAGCGTGAATTTCTTATTATTATTTTTTTTTTAGATGACAATTATTAATAATTGTAGGTACTGTTGAAGAAAATATCTATTATTTTTAACTCCATTATTATATGAACTCATCAACAGTGTAGGTATTAGAAAATCTAGTTTAATAAGCAACAAACTTATTATTCTAATTTCACACTGATTAATATTTTCCCAATTCTATTACAAAATGCATATACTCTGCAGGTATGCCTTTCCTTAGTTACAGAATAGAATAAAATACACGGATACACTTGATCTGTACACAGTTAAAAAAAATGTAATTTAATCTGTGATCAGAGTGCGTTGGTTGTCAATATTTTTAATATGTTAATTTTTACCATAAGAGTAACTGAATTGTATACACAGGACATTGGACAAAGTTGTGTGATAATTTTAAATTCATAATTTAAAATTGTCCATTACCTCCACCACTTTTAGATCAGCTACTGGACATGTTATAATTTTGCAAGTTTATAACAACAAAAGTTTTAGTTCTTGTTCTATAGCCAAAATTGTTAAAATTAAAAACAACAATTTTTAATTTTTAATAGGAAAGGAAAATAGTCCAAGAATAATTTTTATAATATGAGGTTATCAATAAAATATAAGATACCTTTTAAATAATACATTATAGTTTAATATTATTTCGGCACCATTTAAAAACACAAGACAAATAATTTAAAAAAAATTGTTTTGTTTAGATAATATTTTTTTTTATTGTTATTATTTTTTTTTCATTTTATGATAAAAGCAAAATTGGCAAAGCTATATAAACAAATGATAACTGATATTATAATAATTACAACATGTAAATTAATACCATTATAATAATTAATAATAGAATTTTTGTTTTCATATATTTAATATATAGCTTAATTTAATTAAAAATTAAAAATGATTACAAGTAATCATCTTTAGATAAATAATGGCTTGAAAATAAAACAATAAAAATTTTGCTTATTAGAAACATCCACTGTTTCACAGATACAGTTGGCAGTTTCAACTCATAAATTTAGTATTAGTGAACTACTACATGTCAAAGAAAGACAAAAATTACTACGTTTTCTTAGCCTTCCGTTTCGATTGAGTTTCCTGAAACATTCAATTGACAGAATTAAATATAGCAGTCAGGCGAGTAATGTACAGCTGATTTATTTTTACATTTGGCATTGTATTAGATGCAGGTAGTTTTTTTTCAGTAGTAAAGTTCATTATGTATTTTAGATGGATGGCAAACAAAGTGACATGTTAATTTAAGGTACTTACTCAATCCATAATAAAGTATTCAAACTAAAAATGAACGCATTTATAAAAAAAAAATTAGATTTTATTCAATTTCAAAATAAAGATTAAATTAAGTTGCACGATATACTTTATCAACATTGGTGGTTGCACTATGAAAAGTGTTTCCACAATACCGACATCACTTCTCAAACCAGAAAGACAATAATTTTATTTAAAAACTAACTGATACACAATTCTGATCATTAGATACAACAGAAACATTAATCCTGTTATTGTTAATTGTTTTGAAATTATTAATTTGTTTTATTTATTTTGGGGCCTTTAAAAAATTATCTTTAAGGGTATCATTATAATAATGTGTAGTTTGCCATTTTCTCAATAATACATTACAACATATAACAAATGGTATAAAACTATTGGCATTGATGTGTACTTTATTGATATTATAAGTTTTTACATTTACTTATTGTGGAAATTTATGAACGTTTTGAAGAAAAAATGTATTCAAGTAATTTTTTAGGCAAAACTATATTGAGTATACTTATTTCAAATTGATTTCTCTCGACTATTATTTCTTATTTAATATAAAGGAACAAATTATGAATTAAATGTATAGAATAATAATTACCTTGGCTTTTTTAATTTCAGCCTTTTTGGGCTCTTGTTCATCAGCTGACTTGTTTTCAACATTATTTTCAACAACAGATTCTATTTTGTCTCCATTAACTGATGAACTACTGCTTACACCGGTATCATATGCAGGTTCATCAGACGTATGTGATTGAGATGATGAAGGAGATTCTGGCGACATATCTTCTCCATTTGTAGGTGGTTGCTGCTCGGTTGAATCCTTAGACAATTTCAATTGATTTTCAATAACTGACTGTAGCGTCTCTTTTGACTGTTCCGCTAAAATGTGACCATGACATGAGTACATATTCGGTCGAAAATTAAGATTTAATTACGTTTAGATTTTGCGTTATCAGTACTTGCAAACCATTCCGCCATTGCACACATATTGGCTTCTGTAAAACGTTCAGCCACATCTCCAGATACCACATCTGGTGGCAGTTCCGGTGTTTTTTTCCCATGTTCCAACTTAGACAAAAGTGTCTGTCGTTCAGAGTGAAGAGTTCTGCATAATTTTTGCAAGGTACTCAATTGTCGAGTTGCTACGGACAAATCACTGATCATTCTAGTGCGTTCAACAGTAATTTCATCTAAAAGTTGCTGGCAGCGCTCATAACGCATTTTCCAACTAGCTGACTCTTTTTCTTGTTTTACTATTTTTTTGGACATCTGTGAATAAAAAAATACAATAAACACAAATCAATCACATATGTTCATTTATTAAGTGATATACTAGACGGGTTAATGAGGTACAGATATACACAAGCATACAACAATAAGAACTATAGCATGCGTAGAATTAAGTCGACAATATATAAGAATAGTACAAGAGGATATTTCTATGCAATATGATAAAAATATACAATGATTTAGTAATGGATTGAAATTCAACATTAAATATAGAAAAAAATTAAAGTTAATGGTTAGTAAATATTTATCTTAGATTTGTTAACATAATGGTAGAAAAATCAAGATTTTTTAACAAAATTAATCTTGCCTATATTGGTAAAAACTAATCAAGACCAATAGCATTATAAGCTGACACCTTGAGAAAAGTTTGTACCAGTAGATCAGGAAGGTCAATTTATTATTTAAAAGCTTGGTGTCTGTATTAAGCCGTCTAGCTTCTAAAGTAAGGATTTAGCACCGTAAGGTGACATCAGTTACTGGTTTATCAGCCAAACCAATTGTATGAGCAATTATACGAAGAATTGTCTTTGAATTTTTTCAAGTTCATTTATAAGAAATTGAGTTGGGCTCCAGATAACCAAGCCAAACTCAAGAATATATCTATCAAGAGATTAAGTATAAGACCTAAACACATAAGATGATTAAAATCAGAGCAATTTCTTTTCAGAAATCCCAAATTATGAAAAGCTTTACTAATTATTAAGTTAATATGTAAAGTGAAGCTTAAGTCTTTGGATAATGTTACTCCTGAACCATGAACAATTTTTTTGAAGTTATAATCCCCAATTTTATAATTAGAAGGTATTTTTTCTTTGCGGCGACCGAATGAAATAAATGTGTATTTAGAATTATTCAAATTCAAGATATTAATTGAAGACAAAACAACAAAGATGATACATTTTCTGATTGCCTTTGGGTACATCAGATGAAGTATTAAACTTTTTGGACATTTAATAATATTTATCTTCACTATTTGGAAGCGGTCAGTAAGGTATGAATAGCCATGACAAGATGGGTGTATTTATATATATTTTTTTTTTACTCACTAATTCCATGTCTCCTTTAAACCCAGCAAAAACTTTATTGCTTCGGGCTAAAGCATTTTGAAATTCTTCATATTTCTCATTATACAGGGAAATTTGGTTTCGCAAGTCTATTTCAGTATTCTGCATTTCCTCAATTCTGGTTTGATATAGCCGTATTTCCTTTAGAAAATAAAAAAAATACATTATGTAACATTATAATCTTAATAAATTTATAAGTAAAATCAAATAACTAATACAAAATTACAAACCTTTAATAAATGGGTCTTCTCATTTAAAATAGTTTCTCGTTCTACACTGATTTCCATGTTCGCTTTGGCTAGCTTAGCATCACATAATTGGGTCTCAAGCTCAATTTGTTTAGCTAACTTAACTACTTGCTACAACAATTAACAAGTTTTCTATACTAAGAATTAATTCATAGTTAAGACTGTACAATAATAATAATAATAAACTTTTATGTGCTTACAGCGCCATTTACCTGTTCTCTAAGCTCATACTGTTCGCACACATTCTTAAGCCTAGAAGACATGTCCATATTATCATCTCGAAGCTTGTTGTTTTTCTCACTATTTTGTTGCATAACTGAAGCTATTTCACTTAAAGTGTTTTGAAATTTATTTGTCATTTCCATCCGTTTATCTTCAGCTTCTTTGACACGTTTCAGACTCTCTTCCTAGAAAAAAATGATGTTTTAACAAATTAATAAAAATAAATATATATTAATAATTTATAATTATTACTCTTATTGCTTTATTTTGTTTCTGCAATTCCCTGCACAAACTCTCCAATCGACTTCTTGTCATCACTGCTTTATTCATTTCACCTCTGACTATATCACGTTCTGTTAGTGCCTGAGATACTCTTTTTTCAGTTTGTTTATAAGCAGTCTAATATTCAAGGAATAAAAAAATTAAAAATTAATACATACTGAAAAAAATTAATGTTGCTTCTTCTAATTAAAAAAAAATTAATTTACCTTAAGCTTAGTGTTTTCTTCCATCAGATCTGCATACTTAATGCATAATGCTGCTAGTTTTTCTTCGGGTGTATTTAAAGAATTCATACTATTCAAAACAGTTTTCAATGCTTGAGCTAAATGACGATCTTTTTTTTTACGGTTTTTATCGTTAGACGGATGATTTGAATCTGCTATGTCCAACTCTGAAGCTTGAGTGGCTACAGATGTTGTACTATCAACAGCATCTGCCTGTTTGGGCGAAGTTTCCGTTACTGCACTGGACGCACATGACGTAATTTTTTGATTATTAGGCTGCAAAATAAATTATAATTAATATAAAACTACAGTTACAATAAAAACTTTATACAATTGTACTAACCTGAGCAGTCTTGGTGTCAGAAGGTTCTTCTGACACGGTAGGTGTAGTCTCCATGTCAATAAAATAAACCAAGTATTTTAAGTGTTAAAATAAACTGCAATTGTGCATCTATCTAAATATTTTCAGACTGAAAACAAAAAATGTTACATTATTTTAAAGCTGGACGTGACAGCACGGTATATTAATTTATTATACATTTGAGCTATTTGCACAAAAATTAATTGGAAATGACATTACTGCCATTAGTGCCATTTATTAATATGTTGTGTTTAGAACTATCTATTTGAACACACAATATATTTCTGTAAAGTTGATGATCATAATATAATAATAAATATAGCAGTAACACAATATAGGATCAATTTCAGATAGTATAATTGTTTGTAATTGAGTTTTTTCATAGTATTTCGGGGATATACGATATGTACCTATCCCCTTACTTGGTGCTACGGAAATATTGATCATTACTGATTACTGTACACACATGCATTTCAGTAGCACTAAAAAGTATAAAATACTTTACACCCCTATCAGTGTGTGGATTGTCTGTCTGGAAACTAGCAACTGGAGAAAAATTTTGAAATTGATGGGACTGAAACCGGTATCGTGTGGCAACGGGCGACTCACAGTTCTATCGAGCTGGGACAACGAGACGATGGATGCTTAGATGGATGTGCTGCCAAAGAGCAGCGAACGACAACACCCAAAAATCAGTCCGGGGACCCAAAAGTGGCGAACCGAACGCGTGTCGATGGTGGACACGACTCAGGGATCTAACAGTTTCGAGGGACGAGCACTTGAGCGGTGTCGACGCGATGGACGATGGTAAATAGCGAATAACGATCGTGAATAACAAAAATAACAATAACAACAATAATAATAATAATAATAATAGTAATAATAAATAATAATATTATCGCGTTCACTGACCAAAATGCAAGCACGCCGGATGATTAATGTTTGCACTTTGTCGTCGTAGTCTTCGTCCTCGTGATCGGGCGGTGGCGGAACGTGTACTATAGAAAAATGCCGAGTCTGGACTTGGTACACGGCACTGGGCGATAATGCACTGGTAAATGACCTAAAACGGTAATCGGTCGGTGCGGGACAGACCCGTACGAAGCAACGGGACGGGTAACGTCGGACCGATATACATATATACACTGTGTATGTATTGTTATTAATATATATACATTTAAATATATATGTGTAATATACGGTGTCGTGCTCGGATGTGCGCGTATCTAAAGGGTCTGTTGCTGAGCGGTGGAGGGGACTGGACGACAGGTAGTGGCGGCCGCGGCTGGTCCCGGTGACGGACGAGGATCCCGAGCCGGCGCGCCGGTGCCCGCGATACCCGCCCACAAAATGGTAACACTGTGCACCGTCGCCGCCTTTATTCGAAATTCCTTGTTCCGTGCAAATATCGGCTCGGTCGTACGAGCCCTGTGATGTACCACAGCCTAATTATTTACACATTATGACACTACTGTCTGCTGTACGACGGATAAGACTAGAAAGTCCTGCATTCACAAATGCAACCAACACTGCGTTTACAAATCTGGCCAATCCCACAGCTCTTCGTTTCGAACTCCAATGTCCCATGTTTCGGTATGACACTGTAGCTTGACTCCCCCTCCCCCCCCCAACTTGTAGCCTATATTATACACGAATAGGTCTGCTGTAGGATTGGCGAGGCTAATATGCATAATATGCTATCACTGCAAAGCCCAATACGTTTATATTCAAAAATGTCTCATAAGGGAGAATATTCGATGATTTTTTTTTTTTATTAAGCAGTTGTATTGAGAATACCGGTGGTTAAAACTAGGTTTAAGATAAAACTAAAAAATATTCAAAAACATTTTGGTCAAATTTTTCATCAGTAAATAGAGTCCAAAAAAGGACATTTTTCATTTTCAGTTCTTTTCCATTGGTCTATGTAATATACTTAGTAATAATATAATTATAATATAGTACAATATATTATTGATCTTTCTTGAATTTATTTTTTTATTATTAAATGTATAACTATTTTGAATCAGTATCATTTTTCAGATCAAAATATTTTAACTATTAAGTGATTTGAGAAGGATTTGTTGTTTTTAATTACAGCAATTCTACGTGATGAGTGGGGACCACAGTCCGCTGTGGAGTTGCCAGTGATTAGTAGTGATGAGCTCCAACAGAATTTGTCAATAACTCAATCACATATTCCTCTTATAGCCTTAACACCACATAACCTTTGCGTTTAATTTCCAAATTTGTAATTTAATATTTCTGATAATTAGTATAAATGGTTTGATACAAGCAACAAATACACATGTAGTCACGTGTGTATTTGTGGGCATCATACTGTTCCCAATAAATGAAGATACAGAAAGTATAAAGAAAACTGTTAGAAGCTGTAGAAATTGCGACTGATGTTGCTCATGTAGTCATGTCCTCATCATAGAAGCAGATTTAGCTCCCAGGTTAGCTCAAAGCCAATTTATTATTTAATTATAAAACTTTGCAAAGAAAAATATATATATATATTTTAGAAAAGTTAAGACATTTTTTAACAAACAGTCTGGTTAATTGATATCAATTCAGTTAGTATTTCAATCCACTTTATTCGTCTTTTAATTCTTCTATCGGAATAAGGAACAAACTTACAATCCAATTCTTCAGTTTTTTGCCAAACTTTCAAAATTTAAATTATTAGGTGTCTTGGTTTCTGAAATAATTGAATACAGGTATTATTAGTTAGGCAAATCTTAAATGAAATATCAACATACTATGATGTAGAGAAGATAGGGTGATGTACTGATGTCACTCCTTTATCTTTCAATCACAGAATAGGTGGTCAAACCAGATTATAAAATCAACACTAAAATCTTTTCAGTGGTACAATTTTGACGCAAAAAAAACAATGCAGTTTGGTAGTTCAGAATTGATGAACAATTTTTATTTAAATAAATTAAATGTTCATAATCTTAGCCTCTGTAATTTCGTGGCTTTACTCAGATCATGTTATGGGCTTTCCTTAATTTTAGTGCCCGTCCTTGTTTAAGAAAAGTCTCTATGGGATGTGATGCGATTTTTCACTTCATTTCAATTTCTATTAGTTGTAAGAAAAATTGTCCGTCATTATTCTGGACCCATCCTCGAAAAGTTAACACGGTGGGTTGTACGCTTAGTAATTTCAGAATTTTGTCGTCGGTACTACCTTTCCATACGACCACTAGGTACGTCATAAGTATCTCATTGTTGTTAAATGTAAGTGCTTGTTAAGTTAGGTTTTATTGCATGGTCAGAGTCGTAGATTTGTGCTAATATTGGATACAATTGTGAAGGTTTTACTCTAATGTTGTGTGCATAATCTCAAAGGCTCCAAAAGCCGTAAGCTTTAGAGAAAAATCAAACAAGTTACAAGTACCAAATTGAACTGTAGAATAACGTTTATTTAGGACAGAAAGTATGGTAAGTGTATAATAGCGTGTGCGCGTGTGACGAGAAGTTGCTCTGGTCTCCGTGGCTATGATACATCTAGTCAGGCTGTCCCACGGGCTCCCTTATAAGTGATGGCGGCACGTGCAGCTTGTATGTGTTCGTGTTTTTGGTTGTTGTTGCCGATTCTTAGAATAGCGACTCGTGTCCACGATTTCTAGTCGTGTACCTGTCCAGTGATTTATTACATGGATAGGTGCAGATAGTACATATTCTATATTACATCATTATAATATTTGTGCTAATCACATATACGGAGTTCAAGACCGTAATAACATTAATGTTAATATATTCTATATTAAATATAGCGAATAGGGCGCCTAGGGCGTCAAGGCCCGCAACACCTCCCCGCGAAAAAAAGGTTTATGTCTGCAAGACAGAAATCTTTACAATTTGTTTTCTTAGTTAGGTATTGCTATTGTCACATTACATCATATTTTCATTACAGTTTACAATTTCATAGTCTGAGAAATTAGTTAAAATGTGTGACAACATACGGATTATTATTTCATTTACATTTTTTTTTTTTTTATTATAATTATTATTATGGCTTATGCCATTTACAACGGGTTCCATAGTTCACGTTTTAAATAAGTAATTGTGTTAGTATTTGTATATAATATGAATGATATTTTTCTCTTATAAAATAATGATTATAATAATAAGTGTTAGTTTCCCTTGTATAAATGTTTTAAAATCCTTCACCAATTTATGTGAATACTATATTCAACATTATTACATTTGTATGTTTATATTTAATAATATAAATATATTTTTTTTTAAATTCAAATTTATTTTGGGTTATCAAGTATGTATCTAGACTCTAGAGTCTTGTGTCATTTTGATTAATTTCAGAAGTTCCTTACACTCCCCCTTACAATGATCCTTCATAAATAGTTCGATGTTCCTAGTTATTTTATTTAGTCTCTTAAATTCAAAAGGTTGACTAATCCTTTTATTTGCTTTTAATAAGTGTCGACATATGCATATCGATTGAATTTTATCTTCCTTATATCTATATATATGTACTTTGTTGCCTATGATATTCTTTAATTCTTCAATGAATTTCTTTTCTCCAGAATAAATGTAATGTATATTAATAGGAAACCCTTTACCTCACATCTCATGTGTTTTGTTGTTTTTTTTTTTATATATATATTTATATTTATATATATTTTTTATAACTTATATTAATTGTTATTGTCTATATTATCATTTTTTAAATTTACCCTTATGCCTTTTTTTTTCTTTTTTTTCTTTTCGTTTCTTTTCCCTTTTACATATTTTATATAATTTAATAGGTCTAATTTTAGTTACAACATAATTAAAAATACATTTTGTTAAAATTATATCAGCCACTGGATCATGACAATGTGTTATATTATGATTTATATTACACACTAGTTCATGTGTCTCAAGTAAATTCAACATCCTGCCATTTTTAGTTACTGTTCCTATGTATCCCGAATATAATTGTTCCTTACTTTCTACGTTTGTTAATTTTAAATTAAATTCATTATTATTTTTATCGCTATATGCTGTTAAATTTAAATATTTAAGTATTCCCCTTAACCTTAAATGCTTAATTATAGTCATATCCATTGATCCATTCCAAAATACTATTATTGGTTCCCTTTCAGGTATGTGTAAATATTTTTGAAGATAAGTTGTAGACAAGGTTGAGGCCCCCTGCATGTTAACACTTAGGTATAACTGTTCCAACAATGGTGTCATCAATTCTGTCTTATGCCAAAATATTCTCTTAATGTTTTGCACAACGGTGTTTAAGTCACAGCGCCGGAACCTTCTCAACTTAACATCTTTAGTAGGTATGAGAGGTATTCCCTCAAATTTTACAGGCTTATATTTGTCTAAGCTGTTTGATATGACGCCGGACACTAATAGTACGTCATTTTTATTGATCATAGTGAATTCAAAATCCACTATGAAGAAACAAACCTGGGAACTAAAATAAATAATTTATATTAAATTCAATATGTTAAAATGTGTTAGTAGCTAGTTTTTATATTACTATGTCTATGTTTAGTCATCGTATTCGTTTAATGCCAACAATCGTGACTGAATTAATTGGTCTATGATCACGCCTATTGTTAGGCATACAGATCGGTCTGGTTCTGCATCATCCACAATTGTGTGTATGAATGCTGTCACTGGTGTCATAATCAAATTTAAAACTCTATCTGTCATTGGTGCCGTCATTCGGTTATTTGCGTTTAATACGTGTTGTCTAAAGCAACCTAGTATTATAGTATCACTTACTACTGTTTGTAGGTGTGTGCCAGTCAGTAGTTCATGTTTTAATTCCCGGAAAAAATCAATAGCTTGTAGCGTTGGGACGTATAAGTAATCCCTCGGCGTGTTATCCATTTTATATATATTTGGTTTTGTTTTTTTTTATTTATACTGATTTCTTCTTATCTTCTGCAACATAATTATTTATTACTTAACAGTTAAATTATTATTATACTTATTTATTATGATTAATATATTTATTTTATTTATCTTATTTATCTTATTATATTTTATCTTATCTTGGCGATGGTGGCGGTGTAAATGGTGTGTCCTCAAATGCTCTTACGTAATCAATGGTTCTGTATTTCACTAGCCTCCTAGGTATATCTACAACTTGACGATTACTTACGTATTGACATTTTACTACTACGTATATAGCTATAATTAATATTATGGATATTATTGCTAACACAATGGTGGCATATAATAAGTTAGAATGGACAAACTGATGTTTTTGATTTTGTTCTCTTGCTTCTTCGTTTCATTTGTTGTACTTCGTCAAGCGACTTAGATATTCCATTTATATCGGTAAATTGAATATTTGATTTTTTATTGACCCATTCTTCTTTAAACTTAAAATTATGTACGCTCTCTGGAGATGTATCTTTTTCTGTACTGTCCATAAAATGCCTTTAATATTCATTCAATACACCCTTCATTACTTCAATTAATAATTCTCAATATATATATACACTTTAATAATATTCAATAATGATTCTCGTAATAATCTCAATATACTTCAATAATAATTCTCAATAATAAACCTCATGATAATAATCTCATAATAACAATAACTCTCAATAGTTAAATCTCAATAATATTCTTCGACAATAATAATCTCAATAGTTTCAATAATAATCTCAATGACTTCAATAATAATCTCAATATAATAACTTCAATAACTTCAATAATAATAATCTCAATATACTTCAATAACTTCAATAATAATAACTTTTATAATCTCGATAATTTCAATGGGTTTTAATAATTGACTGAATGGGCTTTTATTTAGGTTCTACTCTAACACCTACACTACTATTTAAACTTGATTACCTTAAATAAATTCCATACGCCTCTATTGTACATACGTCTATGTAACAATATTTAATAAATTATTCACTTACAATAAAGCGGTATTTGCTGATGATGCCATGTTCCTTTTGAAATTACTGCACTTGTTTTGCTTGGAACCTTCCTTCGGAGTTGCTGATGAAGAAGAGTGATCAATTCCTCTTGTCAACGATGGACCTTTGATGGTTTTGCCTCCTCGAAATATCCTACCGACTGCGCCAGAAATGTTGTGTGCGTAATCTCAAAGTCACCAAAAGCCGTAAGCTTTAGAGAAAAATCAAACAAGTACCAAATTGAATTGTAGAATAACGTTCATTTAGCAGAAAGTATGGTAAGTGTATAATAGCGTGTGCGCGTGTGATGAGAAGTTGCTCTGGTCTCCGTGGCTATGATACATCTAGTCAGGCTGTCCCACGGGCTCCCTTATAAGTGATGGCGGTTCTTTTGATGTAGCGGCACTTGCAGCTTGTATGTGTTCGTGTTTTCGGTTGTTGTTGCAGATTCTTAGAATAGCGACTCGTGTCCACGATTTCTAGTCGTGTACCTGTCCAGTGGTTTATTACATGGATAGGAGCAGATAGTACATATTCTATATTACATCATTATAATATTTATGTTAATCACTTATACGGGTTCAAGACCGTAATAACATTAAGGTTAATATATTCTATATTATACATAGCAAATAGGGCGCCTAGGGCGTCAAGGCCCGCAACACTAAAAATATAAGCTACATGCCGCACAATTCGTTTTTATTCGAAATGGGCAACTCTTCTGTTTTCTTTTAATACTAGAGCTCGACCCTGTAACTTGATTGTAAAGCCAACATGGATGCATCCTAGGATTGCTCTGCGTATTAAGATTAAGTTGTATTTTCCCAAATTTGTAAATTCAAAATCCACGATTGCGAAAACAGGTATATCACTGCAAATCATATTTGGTTAAGTTAAACATAGTATATATATATTTTCTAATTCTGTAACATTCATACATTAAAATGTCTGCTGGGTTCATTGCTAACTCAATGTAGACATTTAAATATAAGCATAGTGGTTTCAGTAAAGGTCTGAAACCTTTTGGTCATGTCATGTGAAAAGTGAGTTATGGTTCGCGTTATGTTCAATATTTCCTCAGGTAAACTATTTATAATAGTAGTTATTATTATTATTATTTTACAATTCGTAAATAGTTATACGATCGTTATAAAACATACCGTAAGTTATTTCTTCGACCAGCGTTCGAGTCGCAGAGTAAAAACTGGCTCCGGCAGCTCAGTGTTCTCGTCAACATTAGCATTTAAGCACTTTACTCAAATTTTAAGATGCAACTAGGTATTAGGTAGCATATTATGTACCTATGTGGCTATGTTACGTCATACGACGATGTATAGTCGAATAGAAGATATCTTCTCCACATCGTGGTGCATTCGTGGTGCATAGTGCATACTGTAAGAAAAAATCTATTTAGTATTTTGTATTTTTGTCATGGTGCATACAGATTTTAAACAACTTGTTATTCTAACGTTTAATGCTTATCTTATCATCTCGTGTGAAATCGTCCGTTATCCATAGAGTACTATTACTATCACAGATATGTGCCATTATCATTTATCTGACAGTATCAGCAGGGTGTCAGTTAATGCAACGCGAAATATCTTTACGACGGACATAACCTACAAAATACATCAATCGCGAAATCGTCACGTACTTTAGGGTCATTAAACGCTGCAGGACTGTCAGTGGACAAGATACATAATTTATCATCGCTGTAGACTAGATGTAAACAAAATTGAAAATAGTTGCTTCCTATTACTTTACAAGTGTCGAATACGACAAACAATTATGTAAATTAGTGCACTGTGCACGGACTGCGATCGAATGATGATTGAAAATAAAGGGTAATTATTTTTTTCACATACCTGCCAGTTTTTTAAGTTAATTATCAATATTCGAATTGATTTAACGTCTTCAAATACTAACAGTTGTTAATACCTGTGTTTGGCTTATACATTTAAATATGTCCAAAATGAAAATACTCATTAAATAATTTTAGAATGTTTAATTGATATTCAGCTGTGTATGAGTATTCTTTTTATTTTTTTGAGATTTTCGGTTGTCACCTTTTAGTTTTACTGTTTACAGGTGATGTGCAAGACTAGGTTGTCATTATGGACACCGAGTCTATAAGGTCTATGAGTGAGTACAGTTCCAAATACAAGAGTCACTCACTAAAATCTGGTACTAATCACAGATCTAACAGTTATAAGTAAGTTGTTTAGTTTCTTAATTCACAACTTATAGTTTTAAATAATGTTTACCATGTTCATGTGTAGAAACAATACTCGAACTGCTCGCAAATATTCTGATAGCCTAAATAACCCGTACGAAACAGCTATGGCACCATACCAAACTACTGTGATGTTAGATGATACAAGAGATGGACAAGATGTTGTTGAAGTGCAAATATTACCTCAAGTAATTATTAATATTAGTCCATAGTGCAATATTATTTCAATGTTTACTATTTTTTTTGTCTTTAATTATTCGAGTATAAGTTATTACTTATTATATATGCCTTCTTTAATAAATTTATTTTTCATTCATATTGGATATTGGTACATCTACGTAAGTTCAATACAAATGTTGCTATGAAATTATTAATAATTCAGGAAACTTTCCCAATACCTAGTTAAGATCACTGCATGGTTTTGCAAAAAATTTCAATCGTTTTAAACTTCTAAGCATTTGCATCTTTTAATCAACTTTGATTAAATGTTACAGTTATTTATCGTTTTTGTAAAATTGCAATAATATTTCCAATAGTTGATCAAACTTCATTGTATTATTGTTAAGTTATATTATAGATGAATTATCGTAACATTGGTTTTCAATGTTTGACATACTACTGTGTTTTATAGGATGAAAATTGGGGTGAAAACACTACAGCAATTACTGGTAACACTTCAGTGCAATCTGGATCAATGGAAGAAATGGGAGCTCTGTGGCCAGATACTGAGCAAAAAAGTGCTTTTCCAATATTGTGCCATCGTTATATAGCTACTACATTGACTGGGCTTTTGTCTCTAGTCGCTTTTCTTAGCCCATTAGCTATGCTAGTTTTACCAAAATTAGGTAATTTTTCAGTAACATAATATTTTATATTTCTAAGTACCTTTTACCTCATTTATGTATAGTACATTAGCTTAAACTTTGAAATCCTAGGTACTTATTGTCTTACAATAACATATAAGGCATTAAAATAAATTTCTTAAGGGGATCAGTAGCTGACAGTTTTTAAGGAGTTTGATTTACGGAATTTTAAAATTGCATGCATTCGGGTCTTGTAAATGTGTGTGTAGTAAGTGATCATTAGAGTGTGTGACTGTATAAAAGAAACAGCAGAGCGGTCCTGCACTCGCATGTATAAGTCAGCACCTCGGAGTTGCGCTCATGAACAGTAAAGAATATATGCTCATTTCATTAGTAATTTGTATGTATTTTTTTTCCATCCTATCTATCATTCTAATAATGCGATAATATTTTAGAAAACTGATCTGAATTTGTTATAATATTAACTTGCTATCGTTCAGATAAAGAATCTAGACAATTATCTAGTAGTCAGAATTTGAAGAAAAAATGCATTTTGCATATTAAAAAATATTTAGCCTATATATCATGTTTAAAAATACATTTTATTATTTGTTCTTAAAAAAAATCATATTTATTAATTTCTTAAGTTGAAAATATTTTATTACACAAACAAAAAAAAATGTTTTTTAATTTTAAAATGAAAAATGTTCGAAATTTTTCGTTTTGTTTGATTGTTTCAAGTATGGCTGAGTTAAAATAATTTAACAACAAAAAAGGTATGCAATTACTATTTTCAAATTTGAACATAATATTACTACATGATGTGCAAATTAATGATGGTAAATTTTAATATTATAAATTTATAAAACTTAATATTAAAATATACCTTATACTATACATTTTACATCATAATGTT